CCCCAAAACCCCAAAACCCCAAAACCCCATTACGATGATATTTTCTGAAACTGCTTTATTAAAAACAAATCAAGGCTAGATAATAAATTCAGTAACAACAGCCATATGATCAGACCCATAAATAGTTTGATCATTTTCACTTGGTTGATCTCCTTTTATCACAGATTTTATTGGTCTTATACCTCTGCCTTTGTAGAAAATATAATCAAATGTTCCTGGAGGATCTGTATCCATGAACTCAGCCTATAGTCCTGTTGGGAAAGTGAATTTTGGCTCGAACCCATTAACATCTAAAAATGAGGACGTATATCCCTACTAGCAAATAAACTAATAAGTAAGACTTCCCACTATAGCATTTAAATCACCGACCATGACTACAATGTCGTCATCTTATAGTCCTAATTCAACCCAATAAAGTATGCTTTTCATTTGTTCAAGTCGCACATGCTCATCCTCAATTACATGATGCAAGTGAGTATTAATGAAGTGCAACCTTCTAGCAGTTTATCCTAATCTTATGACTATTCTTTAGGCATTTCTGAATGCACTCATTTGCAAGCAATCTTCTTTCTCTATTTGATTTAGATCACTTCCTAAGAACTATCTGCAAAGTAGAGTAGCATTGCCGTCTAATTTGGCATTCCTATCTGGGTTATTATTGTACTTGAAGATAGGAAGTTACACACTATGGCTAATAGCCGAATATCCCTCTGATCTTTTCTCTAGGACTAAATTATGCCTAACCTGATGCTGGATATCATCAGTTTACTCTGGATATTAGAGTTCATCTAGTTATTCAGCCCCAAATACTACTTCTTAAAGACCTATGATATCTGCATCTAATGAGTATACGTTTTATTTCATTAGGTTTTCTCTTTCATTATATCTATCTTTTGTGTTAAGAATATTATAAGTTGCGATGCTAACTACTTATTCTCCTTCTCTTAAAATATTTTACAAATTTGAGTTACTATTCTCTTCCATTTTAACTTAATAATTATCTTTTATTCTTGTAAGATAACTTTTATTTCAAAGGTCGGGGTTTTGGGGTTTTGGGGTTTTGGGGTTTTGGGG